AAACCTAATGTGTGATGTTTTATTGATTGATTTTATTTTAAACCTAATGTGTGATGTTTTATTGATTGATTTTATTTTTAATCTGATGTGTGATGTTTTATTTATTTTTAACTTGATGTGTGATGTATTTTATTGATTGATTTTATTTTAAACCTAATGTGTGATGTTTTATTGATTGATTTTATTTTTAATCTGATGTGTGATGTTTTATTTATTTTTAACTTGATGTGTGATGTATTTTATTGATTGATTTTATTTTAAACCTAATGTGTGATGTTTTATTGATTGATTTTATTTTGTAAACCTGATGTGTGATGTTTTATGTATTTTTAATTTGATGTGTGATGTTTTATTGATTGATTTTATTTTAAACCTGATGTGTGATGTGTTTTATTGATTGATTGATTTTATTTTTAACCTGATGTGTGATGTATTTTATTGATTGATTTTATTTTAAACCTAATGTATGATGTTTTATTGATTGATTTTATTTTAAACCTAATGTTTGATGTTTTGATTTTATTTTTAACCTAATGTATGATGTTTTATTGATTGATTTTATTTTAAACCTAATGTGTGATGTTTTATTTACTGATTTTATTTTTAACCTGAAGTGTGATATATTTTATTGATTGATTTTTGTTTGCAGGCTATAAATGTAGAACAACTTATTGTGTGATTACTTTAGCGACCACTTAATAACAATGTTTCTTTAAATATGGGGGATAAGGGTAAATCAAACTACAAATATGAAGGTAAACATATTTGATTAAACTTGTTGGGGGATGTTTATATATGTGAGTTTTGAGTGACTCTGCAAGGATAAGCAAGATGTGCATATATTGTTTTACTTATTCACTCTTGTAACAGAAGTGTTATGTGTGTATGGATAGAGGACATTATTCTATAGGCAGTAGTGTGATGTATACATGTTTTTTATTTAATTCTGTAGGCAGAAGTGTGGTGTGTATATATTGCTATGTTAAAGAAGAGTCTGAGAAATCTACAAGCTTGTACAGAAATTGGTCTCATAGAACATATTTTGAAACGGTTATCTTATGCTGAGGATATTGTAGCAGGTATGAATCTCATTCTGTTTCTAACATTCACAAACTGTGCTTTGTAAGGATATTAATACTTACTGACAACATGATCATCTGTGTAACTAGAACTTACTGACAACTTGGTCATGTTTGTAACAGTAGTGCAATACAACTTACTTACTGACAACATGGTCATCAGTGTAACAGCAATGTAATACAACTTACTTACTGACAACATAGTCATCTGTGCAACAGTAGTGTAATACAACTGACTGACAACATGGTCATCTGTGTTACAGTAGTGTAACTACAGCTTACTTACTGACAACATGGTCAACTGTGTAACAGTAGTGTAATACAACTTACTGACAACATGGTCAACTGTGTAACAGTAGTGTAGTACAACTTACTGACAACATGGTCATCTGTATGACAGTAGTGTAGTACAACTTACAGACAACATGGTCATCTGTATAACAGTAGTGTAGTACAACTTACTGATAACATGGTCAACTGTGTAACAGTAGTGTAATACAACTTACTGACAACATGGTCAACTGTGTAACAGTAGTGTAATACAACTTACTTACTGACAACATGGTCAACTGTGTAACAGTAGTGTAATACAACTTACTTACTGACAACATGGTCAACTGTGTAACAGTAGTGTAATACGACTTACTTACTGACAACATAGTCATTTGTGTAACAGTAGTGTAACTAGGACTTACTTAAAATACAGTCATCTGTGTAACTAAAACTTACTGACAACACAGTCATCTGTGTAATGGTAGTGTAGCTAAAGCTTACTAGTTACTGACAACATAATCATCTGTGTAACTATACCTTACTACTTACTGACAACACAGCTGTCTGTGTAACAGTAATGTAACTAGAACTTACTAGTTACTGACAACATAGCTGTCTGTGTAACAGTAGTGTAGCTAGAGCTTACTACTTACTGACAACCCAGCTATCTGTAACAGTAATGTAACTAAAGCTTACTAGTTACTGACAATACAGTCATCTGTGTAACAGTAGAGTAACTAGAACTTTCTACTTACTGAAAACATAGCTGTCTGTGTAATAGTAGTGTAACTAGAGCTCACTAGTTATTGACAACATAGCTGTCTATGTAACATTAATGTAACTAGAGCTTAATACTTATGGACAACACTGCTTTCTGTGTAACAGTAGAGTAACTAGAGCTTACTAACAACACAGCTTTCTGTGTAACAGTAATGTAACTAGAGCTTAATACTTACGGATAACACAGCTGTATGTGTAACAGTAATGTAACTAGAACTTAATGCTTACGGATAACACAGCTGTATGTGTAACAGTAGAGTAACTAAAGCTTAATACTTATGGACAACACTGCTTTCTGTGTAACAGTAGAGTAACTAGAGCTTACTACTACTTACTGACAACACAGCTTTCTGTGTAACAGTAGAGTAACTAGAACTTACTAACAACACAGCTTTCTGTGTAACAGTAGAGTAACTAGAGCTTACTACTTACTGTCTAACAGTAGAGTAACTAGAACTTTCTACTTACTGACAACATAGCTGTCTGTCTAACAGTAGTGTAACTAGAGCTTATTACTTACTGACAACCCAGTCGTCTGTCTAACAGTAGTGTAACTAGAACTTTCTACTTACTGACAACATAGCTGTTTGTCTAACAGTAGTATAACTAGAGCTTATTACTTACTGACAACATAGCTGTCTGTCTAACAGTAGTGTAACTAGAGCTTACTACTTACTGACAACCCCGTCATCTGTCTAACAGTAGTGTAACTAGAGCTTACTACTTAAGAACTTTAAGTTTCATGTTCATGTTCTGGTGGATTAGAACAGCTGACTTTAAGTGTTTTTAGTGTAGATGACAACTAACAGTCTGTATCTAACCACATTTAAACTTATATTTCTTAAGATGAAATCTATAATATCCTGTGTGGTCAGAAAATACAGTGACTGTTGAGGTAACTTATAAGTATGATCATCATTGTACCAATTACATGCATATCAAACCCAGAAAGTAAATAAAAATCAAATCCTTAAGATCATTCTAGTATTTACTACTGTAGAAGCTGCATCTTTTATTATGTGTGAAAAGTAAACCATTAAGATACAGTATCTATCACTGTACAAGTTGTCTATGTGAAAATGTAAACCTTTAAGATACAGTATCTATCACTGTACTAGTTGTCTATGTGAAAATGTAAACCTTTAAGATACAGTATTTATCACTGTACAAGCTGTCTTTTTGAAAATGTAAACCTTTAAGATACAGTATTTATCACTGTACAAGCTGTCTTTGTGAAAATGTAAACCTTTAAGATACAGTATTTATCACTGTACAAGCTGTCTCTGTGAAAATGTAAACCTTTAAGAGTACAGTGATAAATACTGTAAAGCTGTCTCTGTGAAAATGTAAACCTTTAAGATACAGTATTTATCACTGTACAAGCTGTCTGTGTGAAAATGTAAACCTTTTAGATACTGTATTTATTGCATTTTATCTTGTTGCATGAAGAGGTCAGTAAATGTAAGATATTTTACTATTACAAACCAAGGTTTAGTCTAATACGTAACTTTCTTTAATAAACAAACAATATTAACAACAAGGGCTGTTTATTGAATGGTACTCATAATGATGTCTTGTTTCTGAACTTAGATTTACTTATCGAAGTATTAGGAGTTCTTGCCAGCTACAGCATCACAGTTAAAGAACTGAAACTCTTAGTTGGAAGTATGAAAGCAGAAAAAGGCTACTGGGTGAGTTCTAAAGTCATAAGATGACCAATAAGAGACATTTCTTCTTCTACAGCTTCAATAATATTTTAAGTTTTTTATTGATTCAGATCGTCATATGTTACTTTTGAGTTTCATCCATTCCTGTGGTAAAATATGCAAGAAATGACAAAGTGTAATAGCTGTCATTATTTAACACATGTAAGAAATGACAGTATAATAGCTGTCATTATTTAACACATGTAAGAAATGACAATATATTAGCTGTCATTTATTAACACATGTAAGAAATGACAAAGTGTAATAGCTGTCATTAAGTAACACATGCAAGAAATGACAGTGTAATAGCTGTCATTAAGTAACATGCAAGTAACAAACTGTGTTGTTATGTTAAGTTTTGTTTAAAAAACTTCTACTAGAGAATCTAAACTGTGGTGTTATGTTCAGTTTTGTTAAATAGCTTCTACTAGAGAATCTAAACTGTGGTGTTATGTTCAGTTTTGTTAAATAGCTTCTACTAGAGAATCTAAACTGTGGTGTTATGTTCAGTTTTGTTAAATAGCTTCTACTGGAGAATCTAAACTGTGGTGTTATGTTCAGTTTTGTTAAATAGCTTTCACTAGAGAATCTAAACTGTGATGTTATGTTCAGTTTTGTTAAATAGCTTTCACTAGAGAATCTAAACTGTGTTGTGATGTTCAGTTTTTACACAAGCACTAAAAGAGAAGTATAAGGAAGAAAACATAATGATTCAGCCATAAAATGATTTTGAATTTTAACAGTGAAGAGAAATAAGGTATGATAAATGTCAAATTGACTGCCTCATTATTATTTTTTTTTTACAATATGATATTTAAAAGGCATTTTTTAAGACTGCATCTGAATAGGAAAGTTTGATGCTTGTGAGTTTCTAGCTGAAACTTGATGCCAGTTTGTACCAGCAGCTCGAAACATCTTCCAAAACATTTTAGACAGATACAATGCCATTCAAATATACTCTTCTCTGTCTAGCCCATTTCTCTCAAGCCTATATGTTCCTTGTATGAATAATTGTATCTGCATTTAATAAAGAAACTTATTTTCTATGTTTAATCCTATTGAAAATTTCAATTTTTGCTTCTTTAGATATATCACTGATTGGTTATTGTTTGGATAAACAAAAGCTTTTATTCCATATTTTTATTTCTCATCAGTATCATGGTGTTTGTTTGTATGTGTGAGAGAATAATATAATAGTTATATTGAATTTCTAATGTTTTTCTCTGTATGAATGACAGCACTGTATTAAGATTAGAAACACCATACTAATTTTTAAATCTCTGATAATTTTGAGTAATTTTGGTAAGAAATAAGGTTTAAAACTGTTAAAAAATGAGAAGTAAAAGAATACTTAACATTGGTGAAATGTTTATGTGTTTTAATTATTTTTTTATAACCTGTTTTATCCATGTAATAACTTATTTGTTTAATAGAAATAATTACCGACATTTTAAAAATGTACGTTTACATAACAAAAATAGCAAAACTAGTTTTAATTGATATAATTACCTGTTGTGTGGTTTTAATACTTTAAAACTATTTGTATCTATGGGCAAGCTACTAAACTTTGAAGAGGATGAAATGTGAATATTGTTACTTGATCTAATTTGAATTAATTTTTTATGAGACTAAAATGTTTATTAAGAATTCCACTAGTTTTATTTTTATCAAATAGAACAAGTGATGACTGGTGTGCTTTTTATCTTTATTTGTTTTCTGCTCAGCCCAGACAATCTGTGAAGTTGCTGTCAGTGTTACGCCAATTACCAATAAGACAGTGTCCAGACACTTTCTTCAGCTTCTCTGGAAAGAAGGGTGCAGTAAGTGCTTACATTAGAATGATATTTAACAGTGATGTCTTCAGTTGTTTTTATGTAAATCAAGTAGTAGTTCATGATTTTTCCTTCATTAGTCATTGTTCAGGTGGTACTTTGTAAATTAATATCCTTAAGGTAGTCAGGTGGTACTTTGTAAGTTAACATCCTTAAGGTAGTCAGGTGATACTTTGTAAGTTAATATCCTTAAGGTAGTCAGGTGATACTTTGTAAGTTAATATCCTTAAGGTAGTCAGGTGGAACTTTGGAAGTTAATATCTTTAAGGTAGTCAGGTGGTCCTTTGTAAATTAACTTACAAAGAACCACCTGACTACCTTAAGGATGTTAATATCCTTAAGGTAGTTAGGTGGTTCTTTGTAAGTTAATATCCTTAAGGTAGTCAGGTGGTACTTTGTAAGTTAATATCCTTAAGGTAGTCAGGTGGTACTTTGTAAGTTAATATCCTTAAGGTAGTCAGTTGGTTCTTTGTAAGTTAATATCCTTAAGGTAGTCGGGTGGTTCTTTGTAAGTTAATATCCTTAAGGTAGTCAGGTGGTACTTTGTAAGTTAATATCCTTAAGGTAGTCAGGTGGTACTTTGTAAGAAACTTATTCTGGTTTCCAGAGGCCAAAAAGTATTCTTTAAAGGTAACTAATGCTAATTGACTGTGGTTTGCTGGTGAACAGAATTGCTTTCAGATTTTCATGCACTTACTGTTTTGTGTATATGAATAAACATGTCTTATTTTAATCATTATCCCTGTAAAAAAAAATCACAGTGAAATTACAGATTTATGCAAATAGTAATTATAAATTGTAAGTCATAAATCTGAGAAAACATCTCAGTTTGTAAATGGATTATGTTAAAAAAGAATTGCTTAATGTAGAAGTGCATTTGATCAAGTGTACTTGAATGTTTGTAACATATGACATATTTGTCTTTAGGCAGTAGCACTACCACCACTGGCTCGTTGGCCTTACCAGAATGGATGGACATTTAGCACATGGTTTAGACTAGATCCAGTGAACAGCGTAAACTTTGAGCGAGAAAAACCATCTCTTTACTGGTATGTGTTCAAAAGAGTGTGTTTAGATTAACAGCTAATATCTCGTTGTAAGTTTTGAAAGACTTGTTAAATCTCTGAACATTTTAGAGTAATGCATGGAAAGAATATGTGCTAACACAACTAAGCTATATTAAAAAAAAATTAGCTTAGATATTTATACAAATCTAGAGTAGGAATTCTCAGATTTAACTGAAGACAAATGTAAAGAATTGTTGTTTTTCATTTGAGATCTGTAAACCTTTTTTGGTTGCATATAAACACTCAATCTTAAACAAGAGCCTCTTTTCTGATGTTCTTCCATTGAATTCCTTAACGTTTAAGCATGTTTATTTTTGTTAAAGTGCTTTATCAAAAGAAAAACAACAATTATAAGAAAATGCTAAGTAGTAAAATCTATTTTCCTGGAGTCAAGTAATATGTATGACCGCCAGAATTTCTTAGAACTGTCTCACCAGTCTTAAAGAATGTGTTTTTAATATTATGAATTGTATTGAGTTAAACTAATCAAATTTTGAAGTACCTTCATAAAAAATACTACCATAAAGGTTGCCTCTGTACGTTAGTCTTTCTCTGTTTTCAGTTTTAGAACAAGTAAGGGAGTTGGCTATTCAGCTCATCTTGTTGGAAATTGTTTAGTCTTCACATCCATGAAGATGAAGGGTAAAGGTTATCAGCACTGTGTGAAATATGAGTTTCAGCCAAGGAAGGTAAGTCATTCAAGTTCACAGTTTACTATGTTCTCTTGTGTATTATTAAGAGCCTACATGGAAAAGTTGGAAATTGTTTAGTATTCACATCCATGAAGATGAAGGGTAAAGGTTATCAGCACTGTGTGAAATATGAGTTTCAGCCAAGGAAGGTAAGTCATTCAAGTTCACAGTTTACTATGTTCTCTTGTGTATTATTAAGAGCCTACATGGAAAAGTTGGAAATTGTTTGGATGTAATACTACATTTGTTAAAGGTTGTCTAAAATATATAATACAATAAGTCTCTTAAATCTCAGTTGATGAAAATATCAAAAGTTCTAAAATTACAAACATG